TGTCCCCTGAATAGTGCTAGAGACACAGTGGCTAGACTTGTTTCTCAAAGGCCTCTTTTCAATATTCCCTACTGGTTGGCATCATTATTATCAGCAACAAGTATTTACTGGTAGCAGTCTTCAAGGATTTGAAGGGTTCTCAGTATAGCAGAGATTAGATTTATTCTGCTTGGTTCCAGAGGGCAGAACATAACTAGGAGCAACAAATGCAAACTGTGGAATCAGATTTAAGCTTGATGTCAAGAAAAACTTCCTTACAGTTAGAGGCATAAAAAATGGATGGAGCTACCCTACCTAAGTGGGTTCCCCTTCTCTAGAGGTCTTCAAACAGAGACTGGATGATCATTTGCTGGGGGAGATTGTAGAGAAGGGGTTCTTAACTTGTTTTGTGAGTCAGATGTGATGATATATGCCTGTAATCCCTGCTGCTGAGGAGGCTGAGGCTGGTGGGTTTCCTGACTTCAAGGAGTTCTGAGTGGCAATAGAATTAAAATCAATTGGGTATCTACACTAAATCTGGCCCCAGTATGGTAAGCCTCTCAGAAGCCACCAGGGTCTCTAAAGAGGAGTAATCTGGCCTAGTCTGGAAATGGGACAAGTCAAAGCTCCTTTGGTGATCACCAATGGCGTTGGGCTCTTGATTCGCAGCAGCTACTGTGAAAGATGGAGACCGAAGTATTTTTTCTCAAAAAAACATAGATGCCTTCGGCCCTCAGACTCCTTCTCAGAATACTGTTAGGTTTTTTTGGTTTTGTTTTTTGGTCAACATTAATAATTGAAGGAAATGTATCAGTTAGAGGTTAGTAAAAATAAAGATTTGTTTTTTTTCCCTTTCTCATCCAAGTGCGTGGATACCCTAAAATCCATGAACTCTAGGATAAGAATCCCTGTTGTAAAGGGAGTTTTTGGTCAGGTATTGGTTGGACTCTCAGATTATTGGAAATGTCTATTCAGCGCAGGGTACTGAGAATGCACGATAGTATAAAACACAAGCCCTGCCCTCAAGGGGCTTACAATCTAATTGGAAAAACAGGATTAATTAAAAAGTTGAATAATAACATAGAGTAGCATGTGCTAAGAGGTACAAACAGTAAGGGCTATGAGTTCAAAAGAAGGAGAGTGATAGCCCACCTTCTTATGACACTGTCAGGTTTACAAAAGTCGTTTCCTCACAACAACCTTATAAAGAAGGCAATGTGAGTTTTATTATTCCATTTTACATATTAATATAGTGAGGCTTCAATTAAATGACTTACTCAGTCATACAACCAGTAGTGTTAGGACCAGGATCTGAATGCTAGTCTTTTCTGATTTCAGTTTCAGTGATCTTTCCACCATACCACACTAACACACTACTCAATTCAGGAAGAAATCCAACTTGGGTCGTGGAACACCAAAATCTTCATTCATTCCTTACAGTATCATTCCTTATGATGTCACGGTTTCCAATATTAGTTTCCCATATACTAATCACATTGCAGGCATTATGGTTTAGTGGAATGAGTACCAGTTTTAAAGTCAGAAGACTTGTATTTGAGTCCTGGTCCGATGTTACCTTTGTAACTATAAGCAAATTAGCTACTTTGTTTGTCCATCTATAAAATGGGGATAATTATATTTGTACCACCTTCCCCAGAGAAATTTGTTGGTTTGTTATGTTTTTTCAAACTGAGTCCCTCCCTATCTCTCCCAGGCTGGAAGTGCAGCAGCCTTTCAGGAGCCAATCCCATTGCTAATTGGCATGGAAGCTTTGACCTGCACCATTTCCAACCCAGGCCAGTTTGCCCTTCTTTTGGCAGCCTGGTATCCTCACCCCTGCTCCTGGGAGCTCACTGTATTGGAGCCAGACTTAGTGCAGACACCGGATGGGCTTTAGCACTGATTGAAGTTCAGAACTCCTTAGGTGAAATGATCTACCAGCCTAAGCCTCCCCAGGTAGTGAGGATTACAGGTCTGTACCATCACACAGAACTCAGAGAGGTGTGAGAAAAGCATTTTATAGACCTTAAGTGCCTGTATAAATATAAACACAAAACAGCAGCTACAGGCACAGAGGAGCACAGCTGGGGCCAAGTGTGAGAGATGAACTTTGGTTATTGCCAGCTTCACCTGGGCTAGAGTGGGGAGAATATTTAAGTCAGGGCCAGTGCTGAAAAACATTCCAGAGTAATCTTCAAACTGGTACATCCTTGGTGATAAATATTTTTCTGCATATGGGAGAAAGTTTGGGCACAAATGCCAAGTAAAGCTCAGGAATGACATAGTGGTTACAGTGGTCTGGGTCTGGGCCTGAGTATTTTCTCCTTTCTGTTTCCATTGTGTGTGTACTTGGCTGTCAATTACTTTGGGAGTTGTCAGAAATACATTGGATGTGTATATGTTCCCTGGATGTCTATGTCGATCTGAAGTCTCTTCCTTTGCTACTTAGAGCACACCAAAGGGAGATAAAAGTAATGATGCCATGTGTCACAGATTCAGTCTGAGTGCTGCTTATCTGATGTTCATCTGCTGAGATCACTCTCTCCATCCCTAGAGAGAATGCTTTGACAGTACTGGCTATGGAACATGACAGATTGGCAGCTTCTTAGTAACATTTAAGGAGGTTCCTTAATGTTATCAGCAACACCTTTACAAATCATAGCTTAATGTGAGCTACTTCTGGGAAAAGTTTTGTAGGTAACCAATTCCATCCAAAGTGAATACTTCCTAATGAAGTAATCTGCCCTTGGGTGTCCTGCCTTTAACCGTTTTCTGTCCCTTAGGTTTATATTGACTTCATTTGAGGGGTTACAGTTCACTTTCTACGTAATTAAGGGTGTCTTTGTGTTGTTTGCCAACTCTAGAGTCTAGGAAATGTTATTGGGTCTTTTCACCCAAAATGTCAGATTAGCTCCCTTCTTAGATCCTGACATTGGCTCGGAAAGATTAGAATGTTGTAGTATTGAGTGTTGATTCCTGAAGATTCAGGGTCATAGAGGGATGGAAGAGCCGTGGATAAGATGATCCCTGGGGTCAAGAGTTGCTAGTAGCACTGTCTGCCCTTTGCTATCACCACATGTCGTAGAGTTGTTAATAAGTTAGGGTCATGGCTGAGTAACACACTCACTGACCTAAATTGGGTCAAAGGCTGGGCCTGGGATCTGTAGTTTTTAATCCTATGAACCAAGAGCAGAGCTAGTGATATCTGACAGGCTTTATGAAAGGAAAGGAAGGAATAAGAAAAACAAAGGGAGTTGTAGAGCATAAAAGAAATGGCAAAAAAACAAAAGAGAAAAGTGAGCGCATATGGTGGGGAGGGGTGAATTGCCAATAAGAATTGTTACAGGTGAAACTCTCTCTCCAGTGCCATATGTTACCTCCTTCTAGGCTAGGTTAGGATGTGAATGGGTTGGTCAGCCCCAGAGAGACATCATGAAGGGAGGCTTGTAGTTTACCCAATCAGACTTTTTAAAAGGAAAGATTTAGTGACTACTTTTGACATTGTGAACAAAGCAAAATTCTATTAAGGGGCAGCCCAGGGCATGTGAGATGGGATTATAATAAGATAATGGAAAAAAAAAAGTCACTTAACCCCGATTGCCTCACTAAAAAAAAAAAAAAAAAGAAAAGAAAAGAAAAAAAAGATAATGAGACTGATGCTTAAAAAAAAAGACATAATAGAACTTGTCCATACAAATAGAGAATTCTCCCTTTGAAGTACTCCCCTAGGGAGATACCTTATTACAACTTCCATTGTTCAAAATGCAGTTGGGACAGCTTCTTTGGCAGCTGTCTTCAGAAGTTCAATAGGTAGATTTGATTTTTAGAAACAACCAAGAGCAATTCAAAGTTAAGCAGTGGGAAAAGATATATTATCAAGCTCCAGAACAACATTAAGATGATGATGGTGGTGGTGGTAGTGGTGGTGGTGATGGTGGTGGTGATATGAAACAATAGCTATGCCTAATTTTCTTGTGACATTTCCACAAGCGAAAAGGTCTAGCAATGTTTGATCGTGGCAGAATCATGGAAATAAGCATAAGCTCTCCCAGAGTGATGACTTTGAAATATGTCTGAATGTGTAAATACAGTTCTATACAGTGAAAGTGTATTAACTCTGGAGTTAGAGGTCCTGGATTTAAATCCTATTTCTGATGTTTACTACCTGTGTGGCCTTGGGCCTTAACTTCCTTTGACCTCAGTTGCCTTATCTATAAAATTGGGGGGATATTTCTTAGAAATTTCTAAGAGACTTTCAACTTAAGATCTATGATCTTATGCATATGTTTGCTTAAAAATCAATCACACTACTTCATGATCATACTTCATACATCTGAGGAGTTTTACCCGGGAGGATTTAGCCAATCGATTTGACTAATGAGATGTAACGGCAAAGACAGGGAGACAGACAAGAGTCTTGCATATGGGAGTGTTTGGATGTAAAGCTCAAAGGAGTGGAAATGGATTGTGTTTTCAATGGTTTGAGACACGTAGGTATTTTCTCCTTTCTGTCCTTGTGTCTGTGTGTGTGCCTACTGTTAGCTCCCTTGGGAGAAAGTTGTCAGAATTTTAGAGAATAGAAGTCAAGGGAGAGAATGAAAGAGAAAAGGGAAGCATAGAGAGACAACACTGGGCATACCAGAGGGACAAACTATACTAGATAAAGAAGGAACCAAGGATCTGGGACTTGGGAGTGCTAAACTATCTGCCTTGGGATGGAGGATTCAAGGCAGAAAAGAATGTTAAAGGCAGAGTAACCACAGCCTCCAAGCAGATCAATAACACTGAGAGCTGTTGGCTTCTGTCTGAGTGGGTGGGGGAAATGGGAGTAGAGCTACTTCTTGGTGCATAGGGAACCTGTATGCTATGACGTCAGGTCCAAGATGTCCCATGGTCATGACACCGTGTGGACAGCAGAGTTGTGTTGGAACCTAGAAGACTAAAAGAAGACGCTCATCTCAGTACCAGGAGTTTCTGTGCAGGGATGAAATGCAGCAGCGCAAACCCACCCTGCTCTGGATATGCAAAGGTCTCTGCTGCCACTGCTGCTGAAGGATTCTTGAAATCCAAGGTAGGCATTCAAAGGGACAGCTACTTTACAAATGCAGGGGAGATAAGAATGAAACAGGTAGAGTGGTGTTTTGGGAAGAGTGCTGGACTAGGAAGTCAGAGGACTTGGCTTCCAGGCTTGACCTGACTGTTTACTACCTTGGGCACATCCATCACTTAACTACTATGAGAGTCAGTTTCCTCATCTGGAAAATGGGGATGATACTGCTTTGGCGACCTACCTCACAGGGTTGTTGTGAATGGGAGAATATTTTTGTTCTTTGCTAGTAATAATTCTGGTTTTTGTATACAAAGATGATGGGACAGTGGAAAGAGCACTGAATCTGGAGTCAGAAGACCAGAGTTTAAACTTTGCCTCTGCCCACTGCTAACCTGTGTGGCCTTGGGCAAATCATTCAACCTCCTGTACCTCAGTTTCTTCCTCTGTAAAATAAGAGGATTGGCCTCTGAGGTTCCTCCATTTCCAAATCTAGGATCCTATGACTCTAGTAGCAAGTAGGACAAGCTCCTTTGAATTGTTTGCTTTTTTTGGAATTGTTTTCAGGAGTGGTTATAGATTTGCATCAAGCAAGCTAAAGTCTCCATTCTGCTCTTCCTTTTGACCAATGGCATGGTCATTTGGAAGATGGCTGGTGACCAGGGTTAGGGTTGCAGTTTTGTGGCCATGAAACTGGGTAAATTTACCTGGACTATGTGGGCATGAGGCAACGATATCATTATTCATGGATGATATGAAATGTCCTCATTGTATGACAGGTGTCCAGAAGTGCCACCTTCTAAAGTGATGCTGGCATATAATGAACCCCTAGTTCTTTATAATGCTTAATTATTGTGGTGTATGTTAAACTGTGCTTTGGTCCCTCAAATGAAAATTGGTTTCAGTTTCTGGCACATCTCCAGCCTCACCAGTTTACTGCCAATGGAGTTTACTGGGGTTCTCGTTTTTTCATTCTAGGTTCATGAATCACAGGGTTCCGGCCAACAAAAGGTACCAGCCTACAGAATATGAACATGCGGCCAACTGTGCCACACATGCTGTGAGTTTTCTTTTATCTTTAGTTAGAGGTTAGGAGGAGGGAGGTCTGTCAGGCTTTTCCCAGCATAGCCCCTTGGTGGATAGGGAAGGAAAATGTATACATCAGCCGACATATCACTGCATTTCAAAAGGATGCAATAGTCATGGTGACCACCATGAATGCCGGAACCATAAGGTCATAGTGGACTACTGGAGCTCACGAGGTCTTTTTGGTTCTCATCAATTTCAGAGAAATCAGTGTAATCTTATTGTGAGGATCACTCCAATGAACCCAGGCTCAAGAGAAGCTTTGCCTTTGTTGTCAAAATTGTAACATGATGCATTTCTCAGCAAAGAAACACTTAGTTTCATCCATTTGTGTTTGAGGAAGAAACCATTCAGTGGTTTGTTGAGTTTTTTTTTGTTGTTGTTGTTGTTGTTGTTGTTAAAAAATGAATATACTTATTCAGTGTGTTCCCTCTTCCCCCATTTTCTGGGAAAACGGAACATTCTATTTTCATGGCAGGGGACAGAAGAAAGTCTTAGGGAAAAAGAAAAGGAGTCTAGGATGGTTGGATCTCTTTGGCTGAGGGTTAGGTGAGTCAGCAATAATTCTTCACAGAATGTGAATCCTTGTCTGTGATAATGGTTGTGTTTTGGGTCCTGGTCCTGGTCCCCTTTCACCATAGTTTTATTCAATGTTTGGCCAACCATGCTTGCAAGAGTGTGTTTTCTATAGTTGGAATTCTTGAGCTTTCTTAACATCCCTCTTTGAGTTATTTTCCCATTCCTGCTACAGCTATTACCAGTGTTAAGTCCCTCATTGAGTTTGGGTCAACTGAATACCAAGCAAAGGGTTCAGGGCATTGCAGAATGTTAGAGTTGGAAGATTATCAAGTTTAGCCCCTTCATATTACACATAAGAAAACTAAAGAAATGAGGTGACTTGCCCAAGATCACACAACTAATAAGAGGCGAATCTAAGATATAAATCTAGGTCTTCTGACTTCAATTCAGTGGTCTTTCCCCTGTGCCATTATGGAAGGAAGAATGTAACATAACCACAGAAGGAGTTGTTTCTTTATAATTAAAAAGGTGGGGGAGGAGAAGAAGGATTTCACATAATTTTTTTTAAAGGCTAGTAATTAGAACACCATATGGTTGCAGTCCAGATTGAAAGTGAGAACAGGATCTGTTTTTAAATGCATCATTCATTTTACTTGCCATATTGTACAATATATAATAAACCTTGCCTAATTCTATGATGCTGGGAAATGGATGGAAGGACAGACAGGTAGGAAGGTAGGTAGATAAATTTATAGATAAATGGATAGATGGATGGATAGACTTCTTAGGTATGTAGTGTTTAGTAAATGTAAGCATTATTGTCTCTTTGAGATAATGTGAAACATAACTACAAAATTTATATTTGTATAGTGTTTGGTGACAGGTGTCCAGAAGTGCCACCTTCTGAACTGATGCTGGCATATAACGAACCCCCAGTTCTTTATAATGCTTAATTATTGTGTTGTATGTTAAACTGTGCTTTTGTCCCTCAAATGAAAATTGGTTTCAGTTTCTGTCACATCTCCAGCCTCACTAGTTTACTGTGTGTCACCAGTGGAGTTTCACTGGAGAGATTCAAGGAAAAGATGTTCCAAAAATACTAGAGTTTCATATTTAAGGGAGGATCAGGCTCACTCACACAGTTCAGCATATATTGAACACCTACTATGTCTAAGACACTGTGATCAACTAGAGAAGTATAAGATGTAGTCCCTAACTTCAAGAAGCTTGCAGTCTAGGGAGCAGCTAGGTGGCATAGTGGATGGAGCTCCAACCTTGGAGTCAGGAGGACCTGAGTTCAAATGTGACCTCAGGCACTTGACCTTTACTAGCTGTGTGACCCTGGGCAAGTCACATAACCCCCAATTGCCTCACCAAAAAAAAAAAAAAAAGAAGAAGAAGAAGCTTACAGTCTAATTGGAGTGACAAAATGTACACATAACCTCTAGTAGAAAGCAGTCTAAAATCATAGCCACTTAAATTGTGTTTAATAATACTATATACCTGTATAGTACTTGAGGGAACTAGGTGGCACACACAGTGTATAGAGTAATGAATTTGGAGTCAAGAAGACCTTAGTTCAAATCCAGCCTCAGAGACTTATTAGCTGTGTAATAAACTTGGGCAAGTCGCAGCCTCTCTTTGCCTCAGTTTCCTCATTTGTAAAATGATATAGGTATGTGCATGCCTATATATGAAATTGTCTATCTATATTGCTTCATAAACCTTAAAGCATGATATACATGCTAGTTATTATTATTGTTATTCATTTCTTTCATATTCACTGTCTCAGCATGACACAGTGGAAAGAGGCTCCGGAATCAAAAGAACTAGATTCACTTCCTAACCTCTTCAACTCAACTGCCTGTCTGACCTTGAGCAAGTCACTTAAAATGAGAGGATTTGGACTTCACCCTCTTGAAGTTCCTTCCAATCCTAGAATAAAGATCCCATAACTCTCATGAGATAAAATAGTTGGAGAATTCAGAAGACCTGGGTTTGAATGCCAGCTCTGCTACCATCTCTCTGTGTAAATTTGGGGGAATCACTTCCCTTCTCAGCATCTCAGTTTCCTCATCTCTAGAGTGGAGGTTAAAAATATCTAAACTATCTACTTCACAAGGTTGTTATAAGGCTCAAATAGGAAGATGGATGTGAAGCACATTGTAATCCATAAAATACTACCCAAATATGATAAGTTATCACTATTATTATTATCCTTGTTTACAGATGAGGAAACTGGATCATGCTGTTAGCTAGTAGGGTCAGAGTCATGACTGGAATCCAGGAATCTTAATTCCAAGGTGACTTCTTGTCATCTCTCAGGGAACTATGTGGAACCAGCTGTAGTAAGTTAAATGTTGTGATTCTGGGTCCAGTGTTTTTAAAGTTTCCTTTACCTTAATGACAAGCCTGAGTCTCCTTGCCCTCAGTTACGGGGGTTGTCCCCTTGCCACTTGGGTTGGCAGACTTTGAGATCTTTTATTTCCTTATTTCACTGGAATTCTCACCTCCCAAAAGTGAGATGGAGAAGCATGGCCACCCTCATCCTAGTCAAGCTTCCAATAACCACAATCCCTCTAAGATTGGTTCACACAAAAAAACAATGATTACGATAAAAAAAGGAAGAAAATTGAAGGGTTTTCTGTAACATGAAAGGCTTGGTATAGATGATCTCTAATCCTTTTCAGGAATATCAGTCCATTATTCTAGTAGCATAATGGACAGAAAACTGGCCTCAAAGCCAGGAAGACCTGGGTTTGAGTCCAATCCCTGACACACACTTACGTCTTTCTGTGATCCAGGCATTGCTTTACCTGGCAGTATGGATAGATTACTGACCAGTGATGTGCCAGTAAAGAGCATATCTGCATGTATTTTTTTCTCTCTTGCCCTAGGTAACTCTCTAAGAATGTAAGTTGTAGAGAGCGGGCCAACCTGTATTGATAGAGGAAGTTTCCTTATCCACATCACAGATCCAATCCCCACTGCTGCCCCTACTCTAGCAGGTAGTTTATGAAAATCTGGGGCCAAGTCTGAGATGGTTGGTTTGTATGAACAATGCAACTACTACAGCCAACCGAAACCTATTCTCTATTTCTAGTTCTGGATTATCCCCAGCATCCTTGGCAGTTCCAACCTTTACTTCCTGTCTGATGATGACTGGGAAACAATTTCTGCTTGGATCTATGGCTTTGGCCTATGTGGCCTCTTTGTTGTCTCCACAATCTTCCACACCATCTCCTGGAAGAAAAAACACCTCAGGTAAGACAACATCTTCTCCTATTAAGAAAAAAAAATGGCTGGGAGGGGACAGTGAGGGCTTACTCATAAATCAGCATAACCCCCCCATATTCTCATTCTCAATCTCTCTCTCTCTCTCTCTGTGTCTGTCTGTCTCTCCCCATCTTCTTTCTCTCCTTTCTCTTTCTCTCCCCTCTGTTTCACTCTTTCCCCTCTATTTCACTCTCTCTCCCCCCTCCCTCCCCTTTCTCTCCCCTCTCTCTCACTCTTCTCTCAGTGTCCCCTCTCTCCCTCTTCTTTCTCTCCTTCTCCCCTCTCTTTCACTCTTCCTCCTCTATTTCACTTTCTCCTCTCTCTCCCCTTTCTCTTTCCTCTCTCTCTTTCTCCCCTCTCTCCCCCCTCCCCTCCCTCACTCTTCTCTCTCCTCTCTCTTTCTCCCCTCCTCTCTCTCTCTTCCTCCTCTCTCTTTTGTCTCCCTCTCCTTTTCTCCTCTCCTCTCCCTGTGTTTCTTTATGTGTCTTTATCTGTCTCTTGCTTTCCCTCTGTCTCTTTTTATTTTTTATGAATGAATCACAGGGTTCCATGCAGGGGTATTCTGATAAATGTTTAACAACCAGCTCTACAAAATTCACAATGAAATTTTTAAGTTTAATTTGCATTATTAACATTTTCTTCATCTCTTTCTGAAGTCTAGACAATCAGTTAAAAAAAGTCCTGATTTGTAGTACTTCTGAGGTATAAATGCTCACATTGAAAATTCAATAGTCAGCTCTTAAAAGCTAGTATAGGCTTGCTCTAGCACACCCCTATTTCCATCCAACAAAAGATGTCAGCCCTTTGAAATTATTTTGTATGATGTTTCGTTTTTGGAGAGGCAGGGAGGACACAGAGAACTATCTTGGAGCCAAGAAGAACTGAGTTCTAGTCCTGCCTTTGACACATACTGGTCAAGTCACAACCTTTCAGTGGTTTAGGTCACTCCAAGATTCTACGTTTCAGAGAAGGTACAATGGTAGAGGGAGTTTCTTTAACTAATACAATCCAGTCTCCATCCCTGGTCACATTTCAATTCAGTTCTTTCTAACTTCCTGATTATAATACCTTATTTCAAGAACTGGCTCTGACACTTATTAGGTCTATGATTCTAGGCAAGTCATTTCACCTTTCAAACCTCTGTTTCTTCCTCTGGAAAGTAAGGAGAAGACTACTTCTACAACTTACCACACAGACCTGTTTTGAGAAAAGCGCTGTCTGAATCTTAAAGAGTTATAGAAACATGAAGTATTATTTTTAATCAATCAACATTTATTAAGCACCTACTATGTGCCTGGTGAACAGCTAGATGGCACAGTGGGTAGAGCATAGGGCTTGGAATCAGGAAGACTCATCTTCATGAGTTCATATCCACACTCAGAAAACACACTTACTAGCTGTGTGACCTTGTGCAAATCACTTAACCCTGCTTACCTCAATTTCCTCATCTGTAAAATGAGCTGGAGAAGAAAATGGCAAACCACTCCAGTATCTTTGCCAAGAAAACCCCGAAGTGGGATCACAGAGAGTGCAGGAGTTTGCTGATGTAGACTTAGCTTCCTGCAGCCCACCAAGTTGAGATTGTAGTATACAGCCTCCATGTAATTCTGTAGTGAGGGAAAGAGTACCCCGTCAAGTGGAGCCTGCTTTCTGGCAGTCAGTCGTAGGAGCAGATACTTCATGGGGAAACATAGCAGTGAAAGGCTGTAGCTAAGTCCATGTGTATCTCTCACACTTTTTATAGCACATCTGCAACCCCTTCTGTCTTCAACCAACACGAATAATAATACAGTAGAGAAAAATCAGTGCTCTATTGTTTCATTTGAAGAGGGAATCTATAAGCCTTTGTACTTTCTGTTCTTTTGTTAGGATACATTATATAATTGGACAGATACTATAAATGGTATATTTTGACATAGTACCATTTAATAGAACATAGTAACATTTTGGGGGTGTTGGGTTATAATTTCTTCAGGATGAGGAGTTCCCAATAGCAGAGTTGGAATTGGAACCTAGGTGCTCTGACTTGCCATTCAGAGGGTTTTTTATTCAGAAGGTGTTCCCCCCCCCCACACACACACCCTACCCCTGTCTTGTTTATAGTGACATTGCCCATGCCTGTGTTTTCAGCACCATTACTCCCTCTGTTGATATTTCTTTCATGAGAACAATGCCCTGGCCATAATAAACTGTCCTTTTACCCCTCTGCTCCTAGGATGGTGGAACACTGCCTGCACATGTTTGACAGGATGGTGATCTATTTCTTTATAGCAGCATCGTACGCCCCCTGGTGAGTAGAGCATGGAGCTGCAGTCTAGTCCTACAGGTCAGACTGTTCGCATACTACTTACTCAAGGCTTTCTTTCAGCATTGGGATTTTTTAAATTAAGTTAGAAATTAATTTAGTGATTTCTGAAATAAGGAAACCACTGTATTCCAAGATCTCATAGTAAAGAGCAGTGTGTGTGTGTGTGTAAAACATATATACACACATATATGTGTATTGTATATACACACACGTGTGTATACATGCACCTGTATACATACACATATACATATAGATAGATGTGTGTATATCCTTCCCCCTCCCCATTTATTAACTTTGACTTGGGCTTTTGAGTGGGCAGCAGTGGGGAACAGGGGAGCAGAAAGCTATATTTGTAAAGAAGGGGTGAAAGATTGCTGACTAATATAATAGACAGTTGGTAGCTACAATTGCACTAATAACTTCTCTAAAAAATCAGAAAAGCTAATTGACACTGGAGTTGTCATACAATTAATATATACATACACATTTCTTCTAGCTCCTGCCATCTTCCTTTTCTAGAGAATTGCACATTTAGATATAAAATAGAATTCCCCATGAAAGTGAGTCAGAGGGTCAGTAAGAAGTATAATAAGGAAAAAGGTTGCCTCAGTAGAGGCTAGAGAACTGGCCTGGAAGCCAGGAAGAACAAGGTTCATACAGACTAGCACATCCTGGTAAATAACCCTGCATAAGACCCTTAACCTCTCATGCAAGAACAGAATTTGTGGAGAACATGCAGCAGTCCTGCATTGGTAGAGGGAGTTTCCTCACCAGGAGGTTCCCTATATTTATAAAACCACAGGTCAAATCCTTCTCACTATCATAAGCAGGAGAAGAAAGATAAGTCATTCATTCAGTCAACAAGCATTTATTAAGTATATACTATGTGTTGGGCACTGTGTTAAGCACCGGAGATATAACTATAATTTTTTTAAAAAACCAAGTTCACCCTTACAGAGCTTATATCTTACTTTTTTTTCAGAGGTTGGGGGACTATGGGTATGTAATATTGCTTATGTTAGTGTTTTTAATACGTTGGTTAATTTTGATGAACTTTTTTCCCCTTTTTTTTACTCTTGTCATAAAGGATGACTCTTTAGGAGGGAGAGGAGGAAGAATACATTGGGAAATAGAGATCATGTAAAAACAAAAAAAATATAAAAATATTTTAAAAGGAATAATTAGTTAAGATAGGGAGTTACCAGATGGCATACTTGGGTGAATTGTCTACCTGCCATGCCCTGATGTGCCTCCTCCCACCTCTCCTGGCATCCTTCCCAACAATAGGTCATAGGTGCCCCCTGAGTCTTTGTCTAGGGCAGTTCTCCCCTCAAATGAAGAATGTTTCATGATGCTTGCCACAGACACCGTTTGTGACACTTAATCCAGGGTACAAAAATTCCTAGTTATGACTCTGAGGGCGTGAAGAAAACAATGAAATGTCTCATGCAACTTCTCAGCTGTGGATTTTTAATCTCATGTTTTTCCCTTTGAATGTATGCATTTTGAGGACAGGGACTGTTTCTTTTTTCTTTTTTTCTTTCTTTTTTTCTTTGCTCTGTCATCAGGAGGGAGCCAAGTCTCTGTGAGTGCAAGAAGATGGAGGGAACAAGAAAGGAAAAGGTTGTTTTGAAAGCTAATAAAAATTATTTTAAAATGAAAGCCAGTTTGTTGCCTATGAAACAGGCATTCCAGAGAGCACAGTGAAAAGGATGGGTTACTTTACAGTGGGATATTGAGAGGGTTGGGTTGAGGGGGATGAGAACAAGGGGGCAATCAGTGTGAGAGGGGTGGAGAACAGGGTTTGAACAATAACAGTGGGCTCAGAATCAATAGGATGGGGTGAGCATGACAGGGTAGAATTATGTTAATTATTGAGGAATGAATTCAAGTAGGTTATCATTGACCATAGGGTTTAGCCTTGGGTAGAATTGTCCCAGGATGTCAGGCAGCTATAGGTGACTGGAACAGGGTGGGAGGAGTGTGGAGTATGCCAGGACAGGGCAAGGTAACTTCTGTGGAACTATAGGAGGTCAGAGAGGGTGTCTGAATACCTAGCACAATGACAAGTACATAGTAGGCACTTAAGACGTTTATATTGATTGAATGAATAAATGTATGTATGTATGAAAAGGCATTTATTAAGCTGTTACTATGTGACAAGCACTGTGCTAGATGGTCATGCCCCCTAACTATACTCTGGACTTAGATAGATGGTGAGCCTGGACATAGACATAAGGGACACATTATGGAAGGATATGGCCATCCTTCTTGAAGTAGGTAACTCTCAAAGGGTCAGGATGTCCTCCCAAATATCCTAGTTTTTCAAAATGTCTCATTCTAGACTTACCATCCATGTATTAATATAAATAATGGAAAGTTTATTACTTATGAAGATAATGAAGGCAAACATATTTGTCATAGAAGTCCTAGGAGTATAGGACTAGCTTTTGAATACAGAGGCTCTGTTGTGACTATAAAAACTAAATTTCTCACCTCCAGCCTTTCTTGTCCCCTAGGCTTAATCTCCGGGAGCTTGGTCCCTGGGCCGCCCACATGCGCTGGATTGTCTGGCTCATGGCTTCTGTTGGGACCATCTATGTGTTCTTCTTCCACGAACGGTAAGCATAGCTATGGCTATGGAAGTGTGGGTAGGGCTCATTTGCCTGCGACAAGGTAAAAACTCCTTTTTCTACCTCTGGGATCCCTATCTGAGCAGGAGTTGCTGGGGATAGTACTGTGCTCTCACCAACAAGGTGGGATCCATATCTCCAAAGTAGCATATGTCATTACCATGAGATGACCATATAACAGCCAGGTACCCCAGCTCTAGAGACCTATCTGGTGTTTAGGATCACAGGCAGACTTTAATTCATAGGCTATGCATAGTTTATTCATAATGCCTATGTATAAATGACTATGTACACTGCCAGAAGGAAAGAAAAAAGAAAGAAGGAAGAAAGGAGGAAGAAAGGAAAGAAGGAAGGAAGGAAGGAAGGAAGGAAGGAAGGAAGGAAGGAAGGAAAGAATGATGGGAAGGAAAAGCATCTATTAAGTGCTTACTATGTGCCAGAGACTGTGCTAAATGCCAGAGATAGACAGGCAGGCAGACAGACAGACAGAGAGACAGATAGACAGATAGATAGGCATATACACACAAAAACAAAGACAGTCCCTGTCCTCAAGGAGCTTGCATTCTAATAAAGATAGACATGCTAGAGTGATGGTAGTTACTGGGATTGTAAATGGGGCTGTGGGTGAGGAGGAAGGGGAGACTATCAAACCCTTCCAGGAAAAATGCAGAGCTGGTTTGATTGTGGGTCCAGAATAGCAGGAGAGGGAACGGGGTGCCTCCTCCCATTCCTGTGAAATATGGCTGAGAACTGCCAGCAACAGTGAGTGAGTTCAGGCAGTTGTCATTCATCAGGACAAAAGGGGAGGGGCCATAGCAAAAGTTTCAGAGATGAAAGGGCTAACTTCTCTGAAATTCCTAGAGAACTTAGTATTCTACTGAGGATTTACAACTGATAGGATTCTTGGTTATTCTTTGTATTTACTCTATGGGATTTTCCTCTTTTCCACTTTTCTTTTCCTCAAGGGTGAACTTGCCCAAAGCACGCTGTATCTCACAGCCCCTGACTTGCCTCTTAATGGGCATTATTGTCTTTCGTCCTTTGTTCTCAAATAGGACCAATAGCATCACAAGGGTGGTGACTTGGATTTAAGTCAGGAAGAGCTACACAGAGTTATTAACCTCACTCTCTTCTCCAGGGTCATCAGAGTCTAGTGGCAAGACAAAAATCAAGATAATTTGGGTGCCTATAATAATGATGACAATAATAAAAGGCAGCTAGGGGGCAAAGTGGATAGAGCACCAAGCCTAGAGTCCAGAACACCTACGTTCAAATCTAGCCTCAAACACTTGACACTTACTAGCTGTGTGACCCTGTGCAAGTCACTTAACCCCATTGCCTTGTCCCCTGTACATATACATACATACATGCATACATTATATACACACATATACATACATATACACATATATATGAGTGTGTATGCATGTGTTTATACATATATGTGTGTATATATATATACACACATATATACATATATATATATATCAGAAACATTTGATGGAGCCAGGTTGCAACAAACTATAAATGTCAAATGGAAGAGTTTTATATGTGATCCTAGAGGTAATAGGAAGCCACTGGAGTTTATTGAGCAGGGGGTAACATGGTGAGTATGATGCTTAAGAAAAATCACTTTGATTGCTATGTGGAGGATGGGTTGGAATGGAGAGAGATTTAAGGAAGAGTGAACAGTTAGTAGGCTATTGAAATAGTCCAAGTGAGATGAAATGATGGTCTGAATTAGGGTGGTTTTGGTTTGAGTAGAGAGAAAGGAGTAGATATGAGATTTGCTGTGGAAAAAGAAATGAAAAGATTTAGCAACTAATTGGATAGGTGGGGTGAGGCAGAATGAGGAGTTAAGAATGACACCTAGGTTTCAAACCTAATTGTTTGGAAGGATGATATTGGCCTGACAATAACGAGGAAGTTCAGAAGAGGTGGATTTGGAGGGAAAGACAATGAGTTCTGTTTCAGACATGAGCTAGAGGTTTATAGGACACCTAGTTTGAATGCTCAATAGGTTATTGGTGATGCCCAGGAGAGACACTGAAGCTGAATCTACAGATCTGGGAGTCATCTGTGTAGACATTGTAACCGAGTCCATAGGAGCTGATGAGGTCACAGACAGAGAGAGAGAGAGAGAGAGTAGAAAGAGAAAAGGATGAATACTCATTTAACAGGATAATTTCATTACATTAGACATTTTCAGTATGGATTAGGTGTTTTGACTTTTAGTCTATCCAAATCTGGTTGTTGCCATTTCAGGATGAAACCTTGGTGGACACCCATAATTAGGGGGAACGACATGGAAGATGATCCAGAAAAAGGGATTAAGAAGGAGTGGTCAAATAGTTAGATGGGGAGCTAAGAGAGAAGAGAATCATGAAAACCCAGAGAGCCAAGAATTTCTACAGGGAAAAGCTGTGAACCATATGAAATGCTGCAGAGAAGTTAAGAAGGATGAAGATTAATAAGAATTAGCATTGATGTAGCCTTAAAAACTTGTAAAGTGCTTTACATATGTTAAGTCATTTTATCCTCACAATAACCCCATGGAGGTAGTTACTATGATCATCCCCAAGATTACAAATGAGGAAACTGAGGCACAGAAAGGTTAAAGATTTGCCCAGAGTCACACAGCTAGTGTCTGAGGCAAAATTCAGACTCAAGTCTTCCTGATTCCAAATTCTAAGTTCTATCCACTGTGCCCTGAACCTTCCCTTTTATGGAAAGGCCATTTGATTTGGTAAGGAAGAGATCATTGGTAACTATAGAGAGAGCAGCTTCAGTTGAATGAGGTCAGAAGTCAGATTGCAAAGGGTTTAGACTAGAATGAGAAGAGAAAGTGGAGGAACTGAGTGTGGACAGTGTTATCAAGAAGTTTGGCTGAGAAAGAGAGGAGAGATATAGGATATTAGGGGTTTCCGGATATAAACAAGGGTAGTTTGTTTTGTTTTGTTTTTGTTTTTTAAATGGAGGAGAATGTTTGTGGCCCGTAGAGGAGCCAGCAGTCAGGAAAAGATTAAAGATTGGAGGGGAGATAATATTGCTGGAGAAGAAAGGGGTGGGGGAAGAATCAAGAGTGCTTGTTGAGAGGCCTTGGTCAAGAATAGTTTCTTTATCAGAGACTGAAATAAAGGAGGTATTGGAGAATGATGTCACAGGTTTGTGAGATGAGGAAAAGAGAAGAAGGCAGACCTCACAGTCAATGGCCTAAATTCTCAGGTAGATTTTGAGGTGAAGTCCTCAGCTGAGAGGTTAGAGAAAGGAGGAAGTGTGCAAGGCTTGAGGACAAAAAAGGCTTGGAACAGCAGCTGTGTTGAGTGGGATAAAAATTCAATTAGGGAAGAATAAAATGATTTCTTTGTTGCAGTGAGAACCTAGGTTGAGATTAAATAACATAAATTTGTAGTGGACACAGTCAGCAGGACTACAGGACTTTTTCCAGTTCCATTCCTCAGTGCCATGAATAGGAACAGAGGAGGAGGACAGTGGGAGTAAGCCAGGCTTAGGGTTCGGTAAGGTAATAGATAGTTTCGTCCACAAAGTAGAAGTACTTTAGAATTCTAGTGTTAGAAGGAGAAAGGGGGACTGGCCAAACAGTCATTTCACAGGATAATTCCATTACATCAGACATTTTCCATATGGATTAGGTATTTTGACTTTTAATCTCTCAGAATCTGGTTCATGCTATTTCGGTGAGATTTTAGGCTGCAGTTTTGAAAAAATAGCAAATAGGAGGAAACTCAGAGAACTCACATATGGAAATGAAGAAGAAACTCTGATAGGTAGGAGCTTTAATTTCAGATTTTCTTATCTGTTAAATGAGAGAGCTGGGCTAGATGGCCTTGTAACCCTAAAGCTATGATCCTACAAGAAAGCATGACAGAGAGAACATAACTGAGGCGGCCCTTCCGTCACTCAACTTTTGTAAAAAGGGCCTCAATCGAAGGTCTGCACAAGTAGATGATTAGATTTTTAAGGCAAATGATTAGATTTTTTTTCCCCCCCCGTGTGGTACAGCGACTCTAACACAATTAAACTCAGAGACTTCTCAAGGAAGCAGAAATTACTCTTTATTTCAATCTTGCGAGAAGGGGCGTCTACTCCTCCAGTACACTACCAGCAGGAGAGAGGCGAGGCACAAAGGACAAAGCAAGGTTATATATCTTAGCGCAAACAAGAAACTCCCATCCCGCCACTATCCCTTACTCCCATTGGCTGGGAGGCGGGCTTACATTCTAAGCGGGAAAATCTTTCCCATTCCCAAAGAACAAGGAAACAGGGTATAGCCAATCCAAACATACATGTCCTTATTTAGTATACCTAATGCTGATGTGGCAGTGGCAATCAGGAGAGGGTTTAGGGCTGAATTAAACTTATGGCCTGTTCGTTCTCTTAGAGCAAACAGTTTCGAGACAGTCTTTTCATCACCACTCTGAGAAGTCTTCACAGAGGTTCTATCTCATTCACCCCTTTGCCCACCCACCAGCCCTCCAGAAAACAGTAGAGCAAAGAGATGAGGATACAACCAGATCTCTGGAGAAGACTGGATATACAGGGTCCAGACTTTGGGTTCATTGATCTCCAGGCTCAACAGGAAGATAATGGGTATTGATGAATCTGACCACCCAGGTTGCCCAGTCTCTTGGTCATTCCTCTAGGTTCAGGACAAGTAAGCTGTCCCACATAGAAATATTATAGGAAAGTGTATCAGGTGTTTTTTGTTTTTTTTTTAAATCTAGAACACAAACATTCTCCTCCATTTAAAAAACAAAACAAACAACCCTTGATTATATCCAGCCACCTCTAATATCCTATATCTCTCCTCTATTTCTCAGCCAAACTTCTTGATAACACTGTCCACACTCAATTCCTCCACTTTCTCTCTTCTCATTCTAGTCTGAACCCTTTGCAATCTGACTTCTGACCTCACTCAACTGAAGCTGCTCTCTCTAAAGTTACCAATGATCTCTTCATTACCAATTACTTAATTGATTTCCTACTTTTGATGTCACAGAAAGCAGGAGCACCAATTAACAAAGTTGCATAAGGGTGGAACTTTCCAGCAAGAAGATTCTAGATATGAGAAAAGGGGTTCCAGAGAGAAGGGGCAGGCAGGGGAATGAGGGAAGGTAAGAGAACTTCTTTAGGATGTGAAATAGCCTGATAGAGAAAGACAAGTTTTCATAAAAACAATTTTTTTTTCAAATTACTACAACCACATTATTTAAATTCTAGGCTCTTAAGGAAAAAATGTATTAAAAAAAAGTTTCTCTTGTCTTTTGTTAATATGCAATGAACTGACTTTCAACAATAAGACTTTGGAACAGGCCTCCTTACTCTTTTTTGTGTCATAGATTCCATTGGCAATTATGCACCTCCTCTCAGAATAATGGTTTATAAATGCATAAACTAAAGTACATAGGATTACAAAAGAAACTAATTATATTAAAATCCAGTTGTAAAAATGTGTTTTTAAAAAAAAGTTCATGGATACCCAGGTTAAAAACCCTTGCTCTGAAACTAAAAGATGTGGTTTCTTTTTTTTCTTTGACACTCAGCACTACAGTGAACCTGGACAAGTCAATAAACTTCTCTGGGCCTCAGTTTCCTCATCTGTAAAATGAAGGGATTAGAGTAGATGGATTCTAACATCTCTTTCAGCTCTAAATCTATGGTCCTAGGATCCTATTTAACATTTGTTAAGTTCCTAACCTACTTTGTAAAGAAAGGCAGGAGCTTGTGGGCAATACTTACATTTCTTTGCCTGGACATGTAGTGAGCAAATAGTCATTAGCAAACACCAATAAATTTGCTTGGTGCAGCCAGTCAAGAATTCAGCCCTGCCAATGATTGAGAGGTTAGAAACTCTGCCAAGGAGATCAGGATGGAAGAACTGGGTTTTCAGCTCTTGGCTGCCTCCATCCAAGATGGCACCACCACCATATGTTAGGAAACTGTGTACCAAATATTGAAGCTCAACCTAAGTACAAGGCTTCTTGTTCTTCCGTACCAGATACAAACTTGTGGAGCTGCTCTGCTATGTCGTGATGGGGTTTTTCCCAGCTCTAGTCATCCTTTCTATGGTAAGTAACTCCTGCCTAAAGGAGGACCTCATGCTCTATCATTGATCTGGAACTCATTAAAACCATTCAGAAGGGGGCAACCAGTATATAAACATTTATCACTGACCAAGATTAAAAGGCCAAGACATTCAAGTTAACTTCTATTTTTCCTTAGTTTCAACTCATGGTTTGGCAACATGGACTATGTAGACATAGCCAAAGCAAATACAATCTAATTTGAGAAGCAACAACAAAAGAGGAAAATAGTACCTCTTCAGTCTTTAGCTGGCTTTGAATGCAGGCTTCCATAATCCTCAAGCTGGAAATTCATCTGTCTCCTATAGGTAGAACAATACATACCAAAGATGGCCATGAACCATGCTAGGAACCATCTGTGAAGTGGAGGGTTTCTGGGTAAGGGAGGAGCATCTTATGTGTAAGGATGGAGGGGAATAATCACTGAGCATAGTGGGGCATGTGGACTGCATATATATGCAGCTTTCCTGCCATTCCCCCAACAGATCAAATGAGCTACTACAGGGTACCATTATTCATTTTGTGGCCATTGCCCCTTCAGATTCTTGTCCTCTCAAAAAAGCCTGATAACCTCCCTCCCCCCGTTCCTGTTTCTCTTGGAAGACTTAATACTTTTCTCTCCCTCCATTTTCAATCAATGAATCAATCAGCAAGCATTTATTAAGCACTTAATATCTGCCAGGCACTGTGCTAACCACTGGGGATACAGAGAAAGGTAAAAAACACAGCCCAACCTCAAGGAGCTCACTTTCTAAGAGAGGAACAACATGCAAATAACTATGTACATGCAAGATATAGGGAGAGAGAGCAGATAGAAGGACATTAGCCATGCAGAGGAGGTGGGGAGTAACCCTTCTCACCTCTGACACTGCCACCAATCTAGTACAGGCCTTCATCACCTCATGCCTAGGCTACTGCAAAAGCCTACTGGTGGGTCTATGGGCCTCAAGTCTCTCCCCTCTCTAGTCCATCCTTCATTCAACCACAGAGGTGATTTTCCTAAAATTCAGGTCCATTCATGTCAACTGCCTACTCAATAAACTCCAATGACTTCCTATTGCCTTCAGGATCAAATAAAAAAAATGTTCTGTTTTGGCATTCAAAGCCCTTCTTAACCTAGCTCCCTCATCACTTTCCAGTATTCTTACACCTTACTCCCCAACATGTACCCTTTGATCCAGTGACACTGGTCTCTTGGATGCTCCATGAACAAGAAGTTCTATCTCTCAGCTCAAGTATTGTCTCTGGCTGTCCCCCATGCCTAGAATGTTCTCCCACTTCTGCTCAGGCTACCAACCTTCCTGGCTTCCTTTAAGTCCCAACTAAAACCCCATCCCTCTTAATTCTAGTCCTTTTTTTTTTTTTGGTTGAGGCAATTGGGGTTAAGTGACTTGCCTAGTGAATGTTATGTGTGTGATGCCGGATTTGAACTCAGGTCCTCCTGACTCCAGGGCCGGTGTTCTATCCCCTGAGCCACCTAGCTGCCCCTAGTCCCTTTTTTCTTGTAATTATTTCCTATTTATCCTGTTTATATAACTTGTTTCGTATATATTTGTTTGCAAATTGTCTTCCCTATTAGATTGTAAGCTTCTTGAGGTCAGGGACTGTCTTTTGACTCATTTTGTATCCCCAGCACTTAGCATGGTTCTTGGCACATAGTAGGCCTATGTTTGTTGATTAATTGAAAACTGGGAAAGACCTCCTGTCAAAGGTAGGATGTGGGCTAAATTTTGAGAGAAGCCAGGAATGAAAAGTTTCAGAGGGTTCCTAGCTTGGTTCTTAGCCCTCTTGGATATGAATTGTTCTAGCCGTAGGAAGAGGCTGAAATTCCTGCTTAAGGATTCTGGTATCCTGCCTTCAGGATCAGCTCCAAATTAAAGCACTACTGAATATGTTTGGTATTGCTTTTAAAAATATATTATCACGCATTAAACCTTAAACAACAGTGCCAATTAGACATGTTTTCAGTTGTTTATTTTTCTGTATATTGTGTCTACAACAGCTTACTAGTTACTCCCTTTGGGTTCCCTTCCATTCTCATAGTCCATTCATTTCTATTTATGTTCCTAGTTTTCCTTTTATGTGGCTAGAGTTAGGGCCTATACTGTCCTTCTAATTTCACATTGCTTCATGTATGGCTTTCCAAATTTCTTTCTGTTCCTTATATTTGTCCTTTTTAGTGGCATCAAGTTTGGATTTACTTTTGGAAACAATTTCACACTGACTGGTAGATTTCCAGCCTCCTTTGAGGCTAGAAGAGACAAGTTGATTTTCAGGCTTCTTTGAACCCCTTACTTAACAGTTCTAGATGTAAGTAGATGAGGATATGGGAAGTGCTTTACAAACTTATAACTATAGAAATGTGAGTTGTTGTTGTAGCTAAGTGTTTATTTCCATTTAAATTCTCCTTTTAGAAGCTGCTAGGTGGTGCAGTGGGGAGAATGCTAAGCCTAGAGTCAGGAAGATCAGAGTTGCAATGAGACCTCAGATATTTACTAGTTGTGTGACCTTGGGCAAGTCAGTTAACCTATTTGCCTCAATTCCTTAAGCTGTAAAATGAAGATATAAACAGCACCTAGTTGTTGTGAGGATCAAATGTAATAATATTTGTAAAAAGTATTAGCACAATGCCTGACAAATAGTAGGTGCCATATAAATGCTTATTCCTCTTCCCTCTTCCCTTTCTTTAAAAAAAAAATGTGGAGGAAGTGCTATTAAATGAATAGGGAAGACTGATAAAGGTAAAGGGATCAACTGGAATTTTTCAAGTAGTTTGGACCCACAAGGATTTTCTCCCAAATCTCTCTCTCTCTCCCTCTCCCTCCCTCTCTCTCTCTCTCTCTCTCTCTCTCTTTCTCTCAATCTCTGTCTCTGTCTCTCTCTCTCTGTCTCTCTCTCTGTCTCTCTCAATCTCTGTCTTTGTCTCTGTCTTTGTCTCTCCCTCTCCCTCTCTCTCTCTGTCTCTATCTCTCTCTGTCTCTCTCAATCTCTGTCTCTGTCTCTCCCTCTCTCTCTCTGTCTCTCTCTCTCTCTCAATCTCTGTCTCTCTCTCTGCCTCTCTCTCTGTCTGTCTCTCTGTCTGTCTCTCTCAATCTCTGTCTCTGTCTCTCTCTCTGTCTCTCTCAATCTCTGTCTCTCTCTCTGTCTCTATCTCTCTGTTTCTCTCAATCTCTGTCTCTGTCTCTTTCTCTCTCTGTCTCTCTCTGTCTCTCTCAATCTCTGTCTCTGTCTCTCCCTGTCCCTCTCTCTCTCTCTGTCTGTCTCTCTCTGTCTCTCTTTCTCTCTCAATCTCTCTCTCTGTCTCTCTCAATCTCTGTCTCTGTCTCTGTCTCTCTCTGTCTCTATCTCTCTCTCAATCTCTGTCTCTGTCTCTGTCTCTCTCTCTCAGTCTCTGTCTCTGTCTCTCTCTGTCTCTCTCTCTCTCTCTCTGTGAGTTGCTCCCTGGCCTCAGTCTTCAGTCGAATTCCAGGCCGGGCTTGCTTCCCTGTCCCTCCATTCTACTATGCTACTGACTAGTCCCCTCCCCTCACCTTGTCCTTGCTGACAGCCCAACACTGATGGAATCTTGGAGCTCATGACCGGAGGTGTCTTTTACTGCTTTGGGATGGTGTTCTTCAAGAGTGACGGGCGGATTCCCTTTGCCCATGCCATCTGGCACCTCTTTGTGGCATTTGGAGCTGGCACCCACTACTATGCCATCTGGAGGTACCTCTACCAGCCCAACACACTGGAGTCAAAAGTGTCCAAATGAGATGTCAAAGAATCTCACAACGCACCTGGTGCCCTTGGAACAGTGCGTTAGAGGAGACATTACTGGGATGAGGCCTTGCTCAGAGGTTCCAGGCCTGTCTTTTGCTTCATTGCTGGATATTTTTTTTGGACGGGTCCTGGGTCATATCTGGTGGTTGCCAGAAATCTTTAGGGTATCTGGTGTAGGAAAAAGGCACTAGAAGGCTTTATTGGAGCGCAAAAAAATTAACCAGATACTTTGTGTATGTTTTAGACAAGTCATCCATAACAAAAAAACAACATTAATGTCTTCAGGAAAGGGAACTGATCTCTTTCTGGAAACAAGAGGCCATGACAGGCAAAGACTTTGTTCACAGTGTCCTAATAACCTTTAAAATGACAATTGTACTCCTCCAGGGAGAAAATCAGCCTCTGTGTGTGCCGCATCAATCAGAACCCACCTTTTTTTTTTTTTTGCAACCTGGATGCTCAAACTGCCAATACTACAGAACCAATTAGTCTTCTAGATGGTTTCAGGGATGGGAAGGTGACCCTCTCTGGAATCTGGCTCTGCCCAATCTAAGACCATCCAAGAGTGGACACTCTTTTTTCTCTTAGGAAAGTGAATACTTTCCTTTCCCACTCCCTCCTTTGCCAAAATCCTTTTCAGACACTAGGTTCTCTTGGGTATGTATTGAAATGGCTCTTTCTACCCTGACATTTTAGTTTTGTTGGGAAGGAGCTGGAGGGAAAATATATGATAGAGCCGTGGTTGCTTTAATCTCTAGATTGAATCTGCAGGTGGGCCTGGTGACTCCAGCAACAAAAAAACAGACACTTTGCGCTGTTGGGAGATGACTTGAGAGGAAGGGTCCTAGTCATCTCACCAGAAACCGAGAATTGGAAGGGCAGTTTGGGGAAGGGGAAAGAGCTTTGTTGAAAGCTGTCTCTGCCATTTCCAAGCCCCAAATGACATAAGAGCAGGTGGTGAGTGATGCTCTTAATGGATGGGGAAGGAGATGGTGGCTGGGAGGAATTTATAATACTCGGATATTTATTTTGTTCCCAAATGGCAAAATTTGATATTATTTAAAACTGTTTGTTTTAAGAAATTGGGACTCTTCCTTCTTCTCTTTCCCAACCTCCAAGCTTCAGGGTAGCCTCAGAGAAAAACCTCACCAATGAATGTAAACATGAATCCTGACAGAACTTCTAGGCCAAAATCTCTGAAATCCAAAGACCATCCAGACTGAAAAAGCTTCCTGACACCAACCCGTATTGTCTCATTCCATGGGCTGGGGGGGGGTGGGGGTTGGGAGTGGGGGGTATCTCTATGGATGTAATACCTCATGTGGCCACCAGGACAGAGGTATCTTGGCATAGATGGAGTGCTGGACTTAGATCCAGGAAGACTGAGGTTTGAAACCAGCCTCTGATAATTTACTGGCTGTGTCACTCTGGGCAAGTCATTTAACCTTTATGTGCCTAAAACAACTCTATAGGGCTACTCTCCCAAGTAACTGACAGGTTGTGATGTCTGTTGGTGGAGGTCTCACACTGACCATCACAGTCCCTCCTGCCTACTTCAAGGGTTCTATATGAAGAAAGAAGTAGCATGGACCCAATGCATTGGAAGACGTGGTTCTAAAACACCTTATTCCCTACAGAGCTCAGAATCAATAAAGCCTTACGCAGTACTTAATTAAACTTGAATACATTCCAGGACTATTTTAGGGCTCCAGGCTATGGAATCCCTCTTGTCTAAGTCAGTATTAAATACCTTTGACACATTCCATAGAGATGTGATCCTAGAGCTGGGAGAAACTTTTGTGATGATGCACTTTGTTCAGGAACTTGAGGACCTTTGATGGTCTGCTCAGTTGTGTATTAAAATGGTAGACTTTAGCGTAGTTATTTCTCCAGGTTGTATTAGAATGATGAGGATGATACCTCAACTTGGAGGCAGCAGAGGTATCCATTGTGTGGATTCTAGGCTGGGGTGAGAGGTGAGGGACTTGTCCTGGGAGAATTTTTACTTTACTAAAGATAACTACATGTTGCAAATATGGGCTTAATTTCTGTCCTATTAAGAATCTTTACTCTAGGACATGTCTTAAATTTCATCATCTGCAAAAATGAGAGGATTGGACTAAATGATTTCCAAGGTCCTTTCCATATCTAAATCATATGAGTCTATGATTATCCTATGTGAGAGAATTTCACCTGTACTCAGACCAGGACAATCCCATTGCACCTTCCAAAATATGGCAATGGAGCTAATATTTCAGGCACAAGCATGAAATAGAAATAAGGAAACCCAAAGAGTGCAAGGGATGGGAGGGAATCAGGCAATTCAATAGTCGTTATTGACAGTATTTTCCTGGAGCACCTTGGAGAAACTAGAATACAGTCTGGGTAGAATTGCCATGTGGTAACCCTGTGACATTGGCAAGGTTTGCTTTTGTGCCCTCCTACGTCTCCTTTTATTGCCCATCTCCCCAAGCTCTCTGGACGAGTAATCAGGAGACTCAGGATGTAGTTCTGACTGTGATAGTTACTTACAGTAGGTGATTTGGCCAAGTTGCCTAAACTTTCCTGGATTTAGTTCTCTCATCTATAAGAAGAGGAGATTGGACTAGCTGGTCCCTCCTAGTTCTGGTGTTCTCTGAGCTGCAATGTGGTATGGATGAAGTGAGATCTGAAGGACTCAAATTCCAGCCCTGCTACTTACTCTGTGATGACCTTTGGCAAGTCACTTAACCATTATGGGCTTCAAGTTTCTTTACCTGTAAAATGAGGAGTTTGGACTCAATGATATTTAGGCCTCTTTATCTCTAAATCTGGAAATCTGTGATCTCTAAATCTCTTTTCATTTCCAAGATTAGTTCCTGACTTCCAAAGAACTTTGACTTGCTCCCTTCCTTCTATTGGACTGTCTGTCCCAAGAGCCAGAGCCCAGCTCTTTTCCCTAGCTAGCAAGCTAAAAAGCAACTGCTAATATCAAATGAGGTAATATTTGTAAAGCACTTTGCAAACCTTAAAGTGCTATTTAAATGTTAGCTATTATTATTATTATTAACAACAATAATAGTTTAAGGTAGTACTTTTCCCCAGGATATTTACACTGGTCACTGGAAGATGAAAAGCCCTTTAGACCAAAAAGAATGAATCTCTACTGATGAGATTTAAGGCAAACATTTGACTGACCTGAAAGGGGAGTTATTTTTCCTTGGGGATGCTTTTCAGTTTCTTATCTACCAATTAGTCAATCGACAAGCATTTATTAAGCACTTAATATATTCCAAGTACTATGCTAGGCACTGGGGTTACAAAGGCAAAAAAATGAAACAGTCCCTGCTCTCAGGGAGTTTCTGTTCTGTAAGAATGTGTCAGATCAGTTTAAATGAACAGCTATCAAACAAATGGCTACTATGGACGAGGGCCCAGAATTGGACATAAGCAGGTTCTCTGCTAAAAACCCAATTTAAGCTCCTCTTTAACCTTTATCAGCTTATCATTGTCCTTAAGTAAGGCTAATTGACTATTATCAAATGAGATAATACACATAAGGTGCTTTAAAAACCTTAAAGTGATGAACTAATGCTAGCTATTATTATTATCATTATCATCCCATTTCATTTTCACACAGGCACTGAACATACTCTACAGCAGGCATGTCAAACTTAAATAGAAATGGGGTCCACTAAATTGTAAATAAGGATGCCAGTGGGCACATATTGACTTAGAAAACCACTCATGTATATATATTTTTTCTTTATTATTACATCAACACATTAAAATCAGATCAGATCTATATTTTAATTTGGTTCAGGCTGCACTCAGCAGTGTTGGAGGGGGCCTACATATTTGACACTTCTGCCCTAAAGAAACAGCCGTGGGAGCCACTCCTTGATGCAGACTCAGTGTGTGGGGAATCGATCAATTGCTTGTAGACCTCTGCATTTAAAATCGCTGATGCCCTCTTCCTCCTGGTTGCTTGTGGATACTAAGTCAGGTACACCACGGATCTGGCCCCAGGGCAAAGGAATCTGCCCACATTCTTGCCTGACATTGGCTTCTGGAGCTGCTGATTGCTCAGGCAGGCCAAGCCTTCATCAGCAGCAAGAGTCTCATTTTTGACATTCTAGGCATGTCAGCTGTTGTTCCCAAGCTGCTGATACAGTATCAGGTGAATGCCACTGGGTCTGGGTGACGTCAGCTTAGTGGGATGAGTAGCAGGGCAACAACATTGAGGAGCAGGAACATTCAGCCTCCATAACAACAGAGGGACATGAGAAAGGAGAGAGAGACAGAAGGGATATGGAGAAAGCAGTAGCCTTACAGGACTGTGGAATTTTAGAACTGAGAAGCAACCTTAGAGATCTTCTCTGGGGCATCATGATGTAGTAGAGAGGCTGCTAGACTTGGAATCAAAATGAGTTGGGTTCGAATCCCACCTCAGACACTTGCTTTGTGACCCTTGGGTAATCACTAAATTTTTCTGAGTTCGGTTTCCTCATTTGTAAAATGAGAGAATTGGACTTGACTTTGAAGGTGCCTTTAAGCTCTCCAGTCCTGATCCTAGCTTATAGCCCAACCCTCAGTTTTGTGAGCTTTTATTTTTATTTTATTTCAATTAACAAGCATTTGTTTTCTACCCCACCCCACCCTACCCAAAAAGAAAAAAAAAAGAAACTCTAAGTAGGCCTAAACTGAGGTTTAGGGAAATAAAATGATAAACTTTTGATCCCCTCCACCAAGTTAGTGCCTGAGGCAGCATTAGAATCCAGGTCTCCTGGGTAGAGTGTTAATTCCACCAAACCACCTGCCCCTACCTTGGTTTAATCAACTGGGTTGAGGAGTAGAAAGGAGTCAGGAAGGTAAGGAAGATGAACAGAGCTTGCTTCTGTGGTTTGGGTGTAGCAGTCCATGCTTTCTGGATGTTCCATATCTGGATGGAATTCAGCCTAATTGGCAGTTATTTCCCGAGCTGAGTTAGGAGAGCAGAGTTTGGCTGTGGCC